ATTGGATATGTATGATTGTGTTCTTACGTATTTATTTTGCCTACAAGTATGTATTCCTATATTTAAAGAATATACGCGTATCTGCATATATGTGTATCAGTGAAAAGTGAGATATAGAATGTGACATTTGATATAACATGGATGTACTGTCATAGGGACAATACAACCACTTTTTCTGACAGAGATTATCAAGGTAAACGCACATGCAGGAGTCCATATGATATGGAGGTTATGTTAATCTATCAAGTAGTCATATAAAACGCACCTGCGAAACCACGTCCTTTCTTCCTCATAACTTGTGACCTGGGTCCAGCAGTATCGCCATCACTGCTATCCTCATCCATATATCTATCTCCCATCTTGAAAAACTTGATATATATCTTAATATGCTATACAACAGTATTATGCTCACTTCGCTTACAATATTCACTCAAATATATTGTATTATATGACAACGCACTGACGCTCAACTAAAAATGTGTGAAATTTCAGATTTTTGGCTATCACTGAGCATCAAACAATAAAAAGAATAGAGTCATCGTGGTGCTCTCTCTATAAAAATTGTATGCGAGTTGCGACTATGTGCCAATATTGGACACTTTCAGCCCTATTTAATTCGAAGCAGTCCAGGTTTTAGGACTGGCTGCTGCAGCTATTTTGTACCGAGTCTCGTGGAACGTTCCGGAATAAAACTAGTGGCGCTGATACGGTACAGGCTTCATTTTACGCGGGGAGGATAAAGCTATACTTTCGTGTCATCACTTTTGAAATATTTCATTTTTAGTAGTACTACATACTACGCAGTAGTAGTAGTACTGCATGTAGGATAAAAATAGCTGATGACTGATGAGCCACGATTACGTCTGTGTTTATATTTATTTATATGGGCTCGCTCTGTACTGTAGCCAAATTCACACACCTCTCTGTGATTGATATGTAATAAGCTAGAAGTGCTCAATAATAATTAAATCTATAAGCAGTTCGATTTACATACCATCTCCATGTACACATATATGGTTAATGTTTATATACAGGCATAGCAGTGATCTTTATGTATATCTCAAGTCACGGCAGCAATAGTCACTGATAAGATTGTTATCAATACTTGACATGGAGCTCTCTGACTACTTGGAAGCAACCAAACAATGGGAGCAGTGCGAAGATACTCAGAGCAGATCCAGAGCGTTTGAGGATGCCTTTTCACAGCTAAAGCTCTTTACGGAGAGTAATGAGGGGTCACATACATATTGTGATCGAGGCTATCCTATTTCTATCAAAGAAGAGTTTATTGCCGATGTTCTCAATAGACTCGATGACGAAGGTGTGTAGGACTTTTTGGAAGATTTACATGTTTACGTTCTGGTGGTGTAAACTTTCATGTGAGGCGCCGTGCAATACCGCAGTACAAGAGTATCTGAATTTGTTATCCTATATATATGAGGAGACGTGTACCATCTCATTTATCTCTCATACTTGATGAAGGCATCTACCATTATATGTATTAGTATATGAA